TTGGGACTCTGTTAGGATTCTGGAACAAAACCTGCTTCTGGGTTGCCTAGCAACTTATGATGTCATCATGTGTCACTGGCCAGGTGGCCACACCTGGAAGGCATAGTTACCTTGCCCCTTAAAGGGACAACCCGACACGTGGTCACTCTCTTGGTTCTTCCTCTCTTGGTCCCTCTCTCTTTCCCCTTCTCTCTCTTTTCCTTTCTCTCTCTTATCCCCCTCTCTCTTTCTTTCCCTCATCATTTCCTGCTCTCCCTTCTCTCTCTCTCCATATCCACCTAATAAACCTTTTTTATATATAAGATCTGTCATGCGCCTAATCGTCTTTAATTTTGTCCCATAACCTTACAACCTTGACTTTCCAGATTGTGAGCAGCACAGTTCCGATGCTTAGAAAGAATCTTCTCTAAGGCATTCTGGTACAGACCAAGCCAAGAGCAGCGCTTCCCAGCTGCCTCTGCTGAGAGCACCTGCTCAGCCTTGCATCCTCTGCTCATACGCTAACATGGCTGCCTTCTTTTTTTTTTTTTTTTTTAATCGCAGATGCCAGGGACAGTTAGGGTAGGACCCCTCCTGAGCAGGGGTTAGGGATATAACTATTAAAGTTTTTCTCAGATCGACTTCAACCTTCCTCAGGTCCATTCACTGACATTTGTTTTGTGCCCCTGGTGGCTGCTCCTGTCTTTGCTCTCACTATCCATCTAAGAAGATTCCTTAAAGGACATAGCCTTAATTGTCCTGTTGAGTGCCAAGGCCGCTTAGTAACAATGCAATAAGTATTTTCAGAATGCATGAATCAAGGTGTCTGTTGATGTGAAATTTCACTAAGTGAAAAGCACAGTCTCAGATTCCAAGGATCCAAAGACAAAAAAAAAAAAAAAAAAGAAAGAAAGAAAGAAAAGAAAAAAGCTTAAAATACTTCCCGTTGTTTTTCCCACCAATTAAACCCCACACCATGATCTTGCTTCTACTCTTTTTTTTCCTCCCCTCCACTCCTCCTCTCCCACCATCTATATTTCCTTTTCTACCCTCCCTCTCTTCCTTTCTTCTTTCCCTCTTTTTTGAAAGACTGGTTGGTACCCAATGGGAGACAGTCCTGGGCCAGGCTCTGGGCCCACCTTCCTATCCACTGTTCCCACAGGCGCTCAGGCTTTCCCTGGCCCCTCCAGTTACTTGTAACCACTGGTCTGTAGGTTCTTACTGTGACTAAGCCCTGAGCTCAGGACACCCTGAGAATGAAGAATGAAGGTTTCTCTGAGGCCTCAGATGTGGCCAGGTACTTTCTGTCATATCTGACTTGCTGGCCACCAAGGCTCTCACTCCTACACAGTGTGTGGTTTATAAAAATGAATGGTGATGACTTTGAGCTTTTCAGACTTGTTTTCAATCCCAGGAGCAGTATTAGCAGGTTATGACCCTGGCCAGACTGCTTCCTTGCACTGCACCCTTAGGACTTCAAATTCGAGCAGACATTTGGCTCTCTGGGTGTCCTGAACTTCTGGGCCTCCTGGAATCTCCAGGACTGAAGTCTGCACGGGTTCAGGAGCCTCCAAGATGAATTCAGCATCACCCTCCACAGGCTCAGTGATTCAGTGATTCACCACTCTCAGGAGAAGGCTGAGTATGTGGGCCAAAAGTCCACAGGCCTGCATTTCAGTCCCTGGGGCCCCTTTCATTGTGTCTTCAGACAGAGTACCCTCCCTCCCTGTAAAAGAGTGCCATTCTGTGGGAAGAGCCCCAGGACCTTTGAGCTTGCTGAAGAATGGGGCTCAGCATGGAAGAGGGATAAAGAGAAATGTCCCCAGGCAGACAAGCACAGGGCCACAGTTGCTCTTCAGGGATGCGAGTAGGGCTTTGGTTTGGCCTAGAATAATCTGGTGACCCTATGACTTCAGGATCAGCACCCTACTCTGCATTGTTGCAGGTCTGGCCTCTCAGTTTCTCTGGGATCCATGACCCAAACATCCACACCATCTCATCTGCTGCTCTCCAGGAAGCTGAGCTAATTCTATTTTCTTCCTGTGCTTGCTGACACACCTAACTCTTGGTGAAGCACACATCTGTGTGGACGTGGTGATGGTGGTGGGCTGCTGGTGAGAGCTCATGTTCCAGTGCTCCTGGTGGGGGGGTCTCCATAGCATCTGTGCCGCTTTCTGCACAGCCCCTCTGCCTTGCAGCCGCCAGCTTGCCTCACACCTCAGGAGGAAGTGCTGATGAGAAGAGCGTGGGGAAGGGTTGTGCCTGGCTTGAGGGTTCTCACAGTTTGCTCCAAGAACACACCTTCTTTGGGAGTAGGCTGTGATTGCCAGCAGAGTGCACGCCTGCTAACAAAATGCCTAGGCAAGCATTTCTAAAGCAAAGAGCCCCGGGTAGGGCACATACAGCTGTGAGCTCCACGGCACGAGGAGGCAGACCACCACACATGTCATTAGTACTGGAGCCGCGAAGATGCCAAGGCCAGAATACAGGTTTCTCATGGCACCTGTGGAGGACTCAGGCACAGCCTCCCCCCGCCAGGTCACCCCAGTTTGTGCACACAGGTGCAAATCAAGGCCCTGTCCACAGAAGGTAGAAGTGCAGCCTCCCCACCCCCACTCCGCCCGATGTATCCAGGCAAAGAAGCAAAGCAGGAGGCATAGTCTTCCTCAAATTCAGCTGCTTATTACAGTTCTTCGTTCCAGGAACAGCTTCTTGTCAAGCTCTATTCTGAAATACCAAGGAGACGCCTTTCCCCAGACCTTTGGCTCATAGTCCCTTTCTTTCATACAAGCCAGAAGAGGAGACACCCTGGAGTGCCCCACCCAGAATGTCCATGAATACTCAACCCGAGCCTCATGTCACCCAACAGCACATGCAAAAGCCACGGTCATCAGGGCTCCAAAGAACTAAGATGATCCCTGTCTGGAAGGCAATGTGTGGAAGATGCGGCAGGTGGGAAAATGGCGCCAGGACATAAAGGCCTCTCAAGCAGAACCCTAAAGGGGATGCGGTCCTTGAGGCTGGGAACTGGGGAAATGTCAGGGTTTGGTTGAACACCCCCTTTTTGTATTGCTGAAGGGACATGGTGAAGGATTATACTGGAGCCATAGGGAGAGAGGAGCAGCAGCAGCAGCAAGGGTAAATAACGTGTAGCCAGGCAGTGGTGGCACGTGCCGTTAATCCTGACACTTGAGAGGCAGAGGCAGGCAGATCTCTGAATTCTAGGCCAGCCTGCTCTACAGAGGGAGTTCCAGGACTGTACAGAGAAATCCTGTCTCAAAGAAACAAAACAATAATGTGTGGCATGGCAACTCTGTGAGGAAGAGAATTTGGCACAACACGGAGACATGGAGATTGGATTTAGGAGAAAGAAGATTCAAGTGACTCTCTGAGTCTCAATCACAGTCCTTTTCTGAGGCCCTTCTTAAGCGACTTCTACTCCTGGGTTCTGTGGAGCACCTCAATTTACTAGCAACCTGACCCCAGATTTGGGTTTGGATCTCACAGGGCTTCAATTCAGTCCATGGTCTTAATCATGTTCTTAATCACAGAGCTTAGCATTTGGTCCAGAAAGTTGTTTGGAGTTATTTCTGTTCCAAACCTTTTAATCAATGGCATGTACTCAGACAGATTAAACTTGAAAGCATACATATCCACACAGAACTAAAAATGGAATTCGTGGGGTCCAGTATAAACTAAAAATGAAGGATCCTTTGTTTAAAGAACAGGGGAAAGTGTGATGACGTAGGAAATGCTTTCTTCAGCAGCCTCTCCACTTTTCATGCTTGTTTACTATTTAATGTCTTCCTAAATAGAGCACAATAACAGATTTCACTATCCATTTTACTATCCATTTATCCATGTATCTGCAAAGATCATAATGAACTGGAGCCCCTGAAACTAGAGATGGATGGTTAGCCACCCATAGCCACCATATGGGTGCTGGGCATTGAACATATATAATCAGCCCACTACTCATTTTACACTATGTAATGCCCACATGTAAACAAAAATGACCACAATTTGTGTTTCTTGGCTTCTCCCAGAAAGTACTTCGAGCTTTCTGGGAGTGGTAGCCCAAATCCCATATGCATTCAACTATCCAAGGGTATGAGGATTCTTGGCAGGCCACAGGCATACTCTCAGAAGCTCCAGAGGGTCCTATCTTGACACTTGGGCCCAGAATGTTTGACAACTTCTGGGTTTTCTTTCCTATCAGCCTCAAGAACTATCCACTGTATTTGAGCTAAGACCAGGGATGTCTATCATTGTAGGCCCTGAACTCCACAGAGCATTCTGACCCATCATGCATACAGGGGAAGCAGTGTTAGCTAGTAATATAGAAGGTTGGGCCTTGGAATAGCAGGGACATGAATGAGACAGGCCAAGAACAAGATTCAGGGCCCCAGGCAGGCTTCTGGAGCCAGCAGGATGTGTAAGCCAAGGCTCCAAACCCATGGTACATGCCCCAGCATCCCACTGCAGTTTCTCCTACATATCTCCAGAAAGATCATCAGGAATCTCACGGCAGTTGCTACAGGGACATTAAACCATAGGCAAAGTTTCTAATTGCCTGGGGCTTTTCTGAGCATGAACCTGGGGAAGGTCATACATGATGTTGAGCATCATTAAACACCATTGTCACTAGTTACTACAGCTCAGCAAAGAGAGGAAAAAACCCACCTCATAGCTGAATAAGCTTGGAGCCTCAGACACACAGGTCACTGGTACAATTCACATCTCACCTAAGACGAAGCTGACAGAAACATCTTCCCTCCCTTCATCCAAGACTTCAAAATGCCCCAGAGACTGTCAGAAACACAGATGAACTACAGTTTGATTCCTGAGCATAATTTGAGCTTTATTCCAAAGTTAACGTGTGATGCTTTTAGCTATTCTAAGATAGGGAAGAACTACAGAGGAAGAACAAAGAGGAAGATGAATCCCCCTAGTTCCGCTTGTCCAAATGACTAAGACTTTTAAGAGTCTGCAGTTCAACCTGAGCTTCCCTTTACCGAGCCTCAAATAAAGAACTTTCTATTGGCATTACTTCCAAACAAAGTCCTTCGTATCTCTGGCATCTTTTCCAGGGCTGTGATGCTCAGCCGGCTTTCTAGGGTATTGGAAACCTTTATTTTCTGATTACCACTGTAGACCTCCACCCCTCCAGCGGCATTGGAGGCCAGGTATGCATCTTGATCGACCTGGATGTCTGAGTGCTTTTGGCAGAGCACCATGTACTGAGGCGTCACCCTCTGTACGGCAGCCTCCACCAGGTGGAGGTCCTGTGACCTGCAGCGGACAATCATCACAGGCTCCAGCAGCCGGAGCAAGGCTTGGAGCACGAGTTTATCCAGCAGTTCTTGGTAGGTATCTATATCCAACACAACTCTGCTGAGTCTCTCCTTCGCGTCCCTGAGCAATTCCAAGACGAGATTGTCTCGGGCTCTCAGGACTGTTAGCCGCGCCTGATTCCTCATGGTGGACAGCTGGATTTTTTTCTGCTGCTCTATCTGTTTCTCCTTCTTCTCATAATAATCCATGATCTTCAGTCGCTGGGTTTGCACCAGGCGGCCTTTCTCAATGTTGAACTCTTCCTCCGCCTTGGCATCTATCTCCTCCGCCTTCTCATTGGCTTCCTGCTCAATGAAAGCCGTCATGTGTTTGATCTGCTTCTGCACATCAATGTCAGTCAGGGCCATGGCTGCTCCTGGAAAGGGGGGGCAGAGGGCCTTCCGCTGTCGTCAATGTAGAGTTTCCAGAATGGCACTAATGTCCCAATTCCTCCCTGTGGAGTTCACAAAGAAGGAAAGGGGAAATCAGAGTCTGAAGGGAAAGATCCTGGAGACCCGCTCTAGAGCCCTTGGTTTATAGGTGAGTTAACCGAAGTCCACAGACGGTGGTTCCCTAGAACTTCAACCTCTAATCACTCATTGTTACCCAATTCCAGGAAGTTAGGGCCATTCTAGTCCAGAATTCTCTAGGTGATGACCTAAGACTCAGAGACCAAAGAATGCCTCAACGTGGGGCTGCAGAGATGGCTCAGCCATTAAGACTTGAGGTCAGTTCCCAGCATTCACATGGTAGCGCACAGCTTCCTGTAATCTAGTCCTAGGGGACCTGACACCTCCTTATGACCTCTGCAGTCACAGCATATAGGTGGTACACAGACATATATGCAAGCAACCCCCCCCCACACACACAACATTTAAAACAACAAAGATCAAAAAATAAACAAACACATTATGGTGTGGGAAGGACTGAGGAGAATCTGAGAACCTGGTGATGCAGGGTTCAGTCCAGGAAGACTGCTCAGAGGCAGAAGGATTCACAAAACCTGTAAGGATTAGATGCAAAGACTCAGTGTAAGGTTAAGTGCACAGGAGCACTGTGGGAGAGGTGTGGGGTCGGAGAGGAGTCCAAAGGCAGTTTCTATGCCAGGAATGGTTTCCAGGCTTCTGTGTATACTTGATTCTCCTGGGGGACCTTTAAGAAGAAATCCATCTTTGAAGGTCTCACTCCATACCTGCTGCTCACTCTACACCTGCTGTCATCAAAATCTCTGCCAGTGTCGTCTGGGATTTTGTATCCTAGAAAGACTCCCTCACGGGCTAGAGAGCAAGCATGCTTGCCAAGCAATCCCAACAACTTGTGTCTGATCCCCAGGACCCCCTCTATGGAGTTTGTCTTCTGACCTCCAGCACTACAGTATGTGTGGATCCACACACACAAACCCTCATCACACGCACATGCACATCCTCCTCCAATAATAATAGCAATGAAGAAGTGGAGGAGGAAGAGGAGAATCCTCAGTCTTGGGGTATGATTCAGTGGTAGAGCATTTGTCTAACATGCACATGACTGGGTCTCATCCTAGCACACCAGAAACAAACAAACACAATGAGCAAAAAGACCTTTCCCACTAGGTAAAATGCTGCCCTCTGGGTCTGATATGGCCATGGCACTCAGGAGCTCAAAACAGCTCCTGCACAGGACCCACAGAAGACTGAAGTCATACGTATTCAGTCAGAGACAGATGAGGGGTTAGCAGGATCCCCACCCCACCCCGAAAGCTAACAGCAGTCTCGAGCTGACAGAGGAGAGAAAGCCACTTTCTTCAGTAATAGAGCCATCTGGGAGTGACTCATGCCACAGGAGATAATGCCACACCCACATGACTGACCTGCTTAGATGCGGCAGGTCACAAAGCAAAACCAAAACTAAACAAAATCAACAAAACAAAACAAAAATAAGACAAGAAGGCATGTGGAGATGTGGAGAGAGGAGAGGAAGCATGGTGTGGGAGGAGGATAAGGAAGGGTGAAGGATGAGTGTGACCAGAATGTATTATATACACATATGAGATTGGTAAAGAATAAATTGATTTAAAAAATAAACCTCAAAGAATCTCATAAAGCTCCAGAAAATGTCTGAACAAAATGAGAATATTCAAACAAGAAATCATAAAGAGACTAAAATTTTAGAGCTCAAGGGTACTTGACTTAAGGAGAGTGTGAAGGCATAATGAGGACTAGTGAGGTGGCATTGTAGGTGATGGCACTTGCCACCATGCATGAAACCCTGGGTTCCATCCCACGTGGCGGAAGGAGAGAAGCTGATCCAGTAAGTTTTCCTTTGAACACCACACCTGTGCCCTGATACACATTCATGTAATTTTAAGTTTTTGTTCAAAAAGGCCAAGCGTGGCGGTGCATGCCTCTAATCCCAGCGCTTGGGAGGCAGAGGCAGGTGGGCCCTGTCTACATAGTAAGTTCCAGGCCAGCCAGAGCTAGACAACAAGTTCCTAAAGAAAACAATTTTTATCCAAAAAGAACATTATTGAAGTCATGTTTTTTGGAGGTACACTTCTGAAAAACTAAGTGTTTTTTGTTTGTTTGTTTGTTTGTTTTTTGTTTTGTCAATGAAGCAAAATATTCTCTGCTTCTACATCAGACATGTCAATTAAATCAGCGTTGAAGGCCCCCAGAGGGACTCTGCTGGTTACCAGCTTTTGGAGCCAGAAGAAAGGATGAGGAGTGTGAGATGTAGGGCACCGGCATCCTGTGGAAGAACAAACACACCAGGCGAGCCCTTACTGCTTCCCTGCCAAGAGCCGCCTTTGGTCTGCTGGCGCCGGGAGTCTGACACAGAATGTGGAACTTGGAACACACGCTGGAACCTGGCACTGCCATATCCTTCTGCACACATGACCCTGGCCATCTGACCAGACAGCTCGAATTCACAGAGCAAGGCCGCCCCTTAGGAGGCCTGGCCAGTTCTGCCAAGAAGAGTCCAAGAGAGGGTTCCTTGGCACCTGGGCTGTAGCCGGAGCTGATTCTCTCACACTCAGAATCTCAATTAAGTTGGCACAGAATTGGCCCCACTCCAGGGTGGACTTCCCTTAACAGACATTCGTATAAACTCAGGCAGCCAGTTTATTAATTTACTAATGAAAAATACAGCTGCCATGCTGGTGGGTCATGGCCTTTTTTCTTGAAGGCAAGTTGCCCGTGGAGCCAAATCCGAAGGCTGTTTAATGAGCAAGCCGTCCAATGACAATTCACCAGTTGGCCTAAGAGTCGCTCTTGTCCCAGGGCTGCTGGGCTCCTGTTCATGATGGGAGTGCCTCTTTGTGCCCAGACAGGTCCACCTTCCACTGTGCAGGCTCCTCAGTAAGGCTGCCCGATGCCCAGCTCTGCACTGATCAGGCATGTGATTTTCTGAAGCAGCTCAGGCCCCTCCCCATTTTCCTCAAGACTGTAATGGGAATGTGATAGCATCCACATGGCGGGGCCACTGCTTGAAGTGAAGGTTTATCACAGTGGTGGGCGGAGTCAGCCTTCGTGGATGGTCGCTGCCATCAGCACACTGCTGCTTTGACCTCTCCTTGAGTTTGGGGGCCCCTCCTCATCGCAGTCCCTCCTTGGTGTAAAGGCTCTAGATGAGATCTGACTTTCACACACTAGCCTTGCCGCTTTATTAAACTGGTAACCCCTGGCCAGAGTTCAGGATTCTTCTAACATTTCATGGTGCCTTCATCCATAGTCCAGACACAGTCACAGCCTCGGTGGCGGTGGGGAAGGTCTGAATTCTAAGGCTCCGGGCTGGGGTGGATCAGCTCGCAGCTCATGCAGCCCACAGTTCCGTGGCTCTCTGTGTGCACCGGCTTCTGCAGCAGTCATTACCGCTGGTCTTGGAAGCAGCTGCAGAGTGGGCTGGGCTGGAGTTCGGGGCTGGAGCGAATGTGTCTGCAGGAACGCGGCTGCCCATGTCATGTGTCTGGCAGATGTAACTTCCCGCCTGTCTGGGATAGAGATTATGAGCTCACATGGGCTTGTGGTTTAAGCAAAACAACAAACTGAACTGAGAAAAGCCCATGCCTGCCTGAAAGTAGCATTTGCTCTGTCTGCATTTGGGGCTGAGGCCGGGGTTGGGGCCCCTAGGCCAGACACACCTCCCAGCATCTACCCCACATACAGTAGCAGGACATCTTTGCTGCTTCAAACCCCAAACACATGAGCCCAGTTCCACCTGGCAATGTTTGTTCACCCGGTTCCCTCAAAGAAAATGTCCGCTTGGCTATTCCCACCATCCAGCATGAGTCACACACTGCTTCTTGGGACTCTGGACTCCTCAGAATGATGACATCTGGGGCTCCAGCAGAGCAGGTGCAGGAGAATGCTACTCCAGTATGACTGATTCGACTAAGGGCTTAAAGTCAGAGAGAGAAAAAAAAAAGGCCTTTCTCTTCCCCGTCTTCTTAAATTGCAAAATACAACATAGATTCAGAAAAGGACACAGAATGCAGATGTGCAGCTTAATGAATTATTACTAGGCAAATGTTTGGTAACTACCACCCAGCTCAAGAAAGGAAATGTCAAGGGCTCAGTGGGTAAAGGTGCTTGTGGCCAAACCTAATGGCCTGAGTTCGATCCCTGAGACCCACATGAAAAAGAACAGACTCCCCCAAGTTGTCCTCTGACCTCCAAACATGTACACGCCAATACACGAACACTTCCACACAAAATAAGCTAGTTCGTTCTTTCTTTCTTTCTTTCTTTTTTTTTTTTTTTTTTGAAGGAAGCAGTTAGCACTGCAGAAGCCCCTGCTGTGACTGTGAGGATGACATTTCAGACCTTGTGGTTTTGTATTTGTGGGTGTGAGAAAAGTCCTGGTGAGGAAGTGTGAGCTTGGAAGTCTCTGTTTCTTCAGGCCCTCACCTGTGCAAAGCTGTATGCATCCTAGAAAAGTGAGGAATCCTGAACCGAAGAGGAAGCCAGGAACCTTGCTCAGATCGTGAGGCAACCATCCCTCACTCCCTCTTTGTAAGCAAGCCTGGGGCAGATGTTTGTGGCATGGTCTCACAACCCCATCAAAAGGGAAGCAGAAGCAGATCAGGCCTCCAGAAACTTAGGGATTGCCAAGCAACAAGAGGAAGGGGTTTTCCAGGGCTTGGGGCTTGAAACTCGGGACTGTGTGCAGAGACGAGGAAGTAGGTGAAGAAATTTGAATGCAAGGGAGGGGGGCATCCCCTTCTCTGTCTTTCCAAAAAATATCAGCTGAGCAGTGTGTGAGGCACTGTGCCGGCGCCAGAACAGAATGAACAATAAGGAAGATGCTAGTCTGGCTCCCAAGCCCTTGGTGTGATGGGGGACATAATTTGTAAGCTAAGAATCACAGACCAGAGGGTTAGGCATTAGCAATGTCAACAAAGCTACAGGAATGAAGGGATCCAGCCCCCAGTCCTTTTCCCCGAGCCCCACTAGGCTCTGTTAGAGTGTATTGCCCTGCAGACAGCTCAGTCTTGCAAGTGGGTGGTTTCAAATGTCTGGGTGTTGACAATAAAATTCAAATGGGAGACAAGGGAAGGAAGATAAATGAAAGGGCGTGTAGACATTTAGAGATACTCAGACCAAAAAAAAAAAAAAGAAGTTTCAAGGTGATCCAGTACAGTGTCCTAATTTGGAGTTAAGTCACCTGGAAAAGACAGGACCCGAGTAGAATTCACAATTGGGGGGCTATCCAAATTGACAGGAATGCTCAAGACTTCATGGAGACCCAATTCCCTTTTATTATTATTTTTTAACTTTTTATTGATTCTTTGTGAATTTCACATCGTGCACCCCAATCCCACTCGTCTCCCTGTCCCTCTAAATCTGCTCTCCACCCTTGCAACCTTCCCCCTAAAAGGAAACAAAAAGTAAAAACAAACATCACCAACAACAAAATCTCACCATGGAAGCTTCGGTGTGTCACACAGTATATCCTTTTGCTTTACTTGCAAATGTTCATCCCAATGAGTCACTGGTCTGGTTG